CTGCCCCTGTGGAAGTCAAGGGGTGGATGACTAAGAAAAGAGGCCAGGGCTGGAGTCGGTTCTGAGGCTCGAACACAGAAGCTCTGTGCACCGAAGCAGGTGGTCTAGAGAGCCAGACCCAGTCTAGGGCCGGAGCAGTGGCCTGGGCTCTGGCCCTGCTGCCTGCACCACTGCGGGGGTCACTCCCCCGGTGCCCCCCCGCCCCTCCTGCAGCCTGTCTCCCCGTCCTGAACATGCCGCCGCCTCCAAGAGGCTTCCAGGGGTCCCTGTGCGGTTGGATGTGTGCGCAAGGAAGTGTATCTGATGAGCAGGTGTGGGCGTGTGACTTTCATGACGCCTTCCTGGGTTTTCATGAAGAGCTATTTGGCGATCGGGCCCAGAGGCGCTTTGCGTCTGTGCCGTGGAGGTGAGAGCCTGCTGCTCCGTGCAGCGTGTGCGTGCAGGAGTGTGAATCTGGGCCTCGACGGGCAGGACTGGAGAGTCACCGATTCACCGTGGGGCCTCATGTCTGATGCCGTCCCCTTCTCTACAGAAGGGGATGTTCAGGCCAGAATGGGGGTGACTTGTCCCCTGACTCCCTGTCAGAAGGCAGGCTCCCGCTTCTGGGGGGAGAGAGGGGAGGCAGAGCGGTTCTCTGTTCAGAAAGCACCCACTGTGTGCCCAGGCCCCGTGGGAAGAAGAGGTGGAAGAGACACGACCTTAGTAGGGAGAATCTCCCTGATGCTGTCCTCGAGCCATCTTCTCTCCCTCAGCCAGTCCCTTCTTCTCCAGGTGCAGGGGGTGGGGAAAGGGGTGGGCTCTTGCAGCACCAAGGACACGGATGTGCGTCACTGTGGGGCACCCCCATGCACTCACTCCTTCATCCTGACTGCGCTGCTAGGGAGCCCCATCACTGTCCCTCCCGCTATACCGAAGAGGAAACTAAGGCCCAGAAGGCTAGAGGAAGTGCGCGGGGTCAGCAGCAGAGCGCACATGGGCTGCAGACGTCCTGGCCCCTGGCTGTCCAGGTGCCCTTGGCTACTCTGCTGCCCCTCTGTCCCACTGCCACAGGGGATCGAGAGGACCCAGCAGGGCTCCCTGAGCTGCCCGCTGGGCCGGGCAGTCCTTGGCCTCATGGCAGCCGCCTCCCCTGTCCAGGCCCTTCGTCCTGACTCACCGGTCTGGGCCCCCTGCCCCTCCATTCCTCTCTCGTCCTGCCTCTGCCCCCACCCACCCCAGCCCTGCCACAGAGCCCCGACGATGGTGATCGCCCCTTCTAATTGCAGCCTCGCTCCCAAAGCCACGTTTGGTTATCACAGAGGGTGCAGATCTCCCAGCTCAGCCTCCTCGGTCCCAGGCCCTCAGGGCCAGCTCAGGAACGGAGGGAATTAATTACATTTTTCCCATCCCCTTCTTTTAAAGTAGGGGAGGGAGCAGGCACGTCCCCAGGGAGGGGGTGCCCAGCAGAGGATGTGGAAAGGGGGGGCTGGCACTGGGCTACCTCGGCCCCCACCCCCCCCCAACCTGCAAGCCTCTCCCCAGCGGCGGAAGGGGGTGAGGCCGCCCCTTATTGATTTAGTCTGGTGGAGGCTGGGACTGATTTAGAGCAGAGGGAGAGGAAGGGGCTGGGGGCGGGCGGGGGCCGCGGTGGGTGGGGGAGGGAGAGGAAGGGATGGCTGTCACTCAGCCTGACGGACAGCCCGAGATTTGCCTTCAGATAAAACCTTACAGATGTGGAGGTCGGTATTGATTTTGAGTTAGTAACGGTAACGTACCAAGAAGTAATACATTAGTGAAAGCAAGGTCACCGGGAAAAAAGTAAAACCCACCGGGGGAGAGGCCCTAGCATTCTTGAGGGGGGTGGATTACCGCATCAGACCAGGACTTCCTCAAGTTCAAAAGTTTGCAGGCCCCAGACCTCAGCTGGGCCCCCAGCCATGGGCCAGAGCTTCCTGCTTCCGCGGGCAGAGAGGGGCTCCCAGGGGCCCGAGGGCCACTTAGATTCTGGGGCCAGGATTGCTAAGGGCTTCTCCCCCACCGAACCTATTGTCGGGCGGGAACACAGCCAGCCTCCGGGGACAGGGTTCAAACGTCAGCTGTGCTGCTTATGACTGTGTCATCTCTGATGCCCCCGTCAGTCCCCTGTGCCTCAGTTTCCCCACCTGCAGAACGGGGGTGATAATAGCCTAGTTGCTTGAGGAGGCCATGTTCTCCCTTCCCATCTCTTGTCACTGGGCCCTGCCCCATTTGCTTGGAAGCACGGTGCCTGGAGATAGGGGCTGGATGAACTGGAACCCTTTGATCCGCAGGCCTGCAGGGACCTGGGGAGACTGAGCGGAGGCCACGCATACCCCATGCGCACCTATCCCAGATGTGGATTTGATTTGATGTTCCAGGGCAAATCCATTGACCAAAGCCCATTACAGGAAAGCTCCCTGCGCCTGAGCTGTTTCTGAGCAGTCTGGATGGCCCAGGTTTCAAGGACCGCTGAGCCCCACAGAAGTCCCCTCTGACAGAGGACTCCAGGAGCGCTGGCAGCTCCTGGGACTTGACCCTCAACAAGGACCTTCTTGCTGTTTCTTAAGCCTGCGGGGCATGTCCCCATCTCAGGGCCTTTGCACTTGCTGATTCCTCTCCTGGAAAGCTCATCTGCTCTTCCCATCACTGGTTCTTTTTGCTATTGCTGGATATCACGTCTTTGGGGACATCTTGACTGCCTGTGCCACATACCTCCATTATTTTCCCTCCGTAACACTTATGAGGATCAAACTACATCATTTTTGTGTTTGCTGTCAGCCTTCTTGATTAGACTGAGGACATGCATGTGGAGTTGCTGATGCTTGTTGCTGTATCCTCAGTGCCCAGCTCAGTGCCTGCTGCTTAGTGGGTGCTCAGTAAGTGAGTTGGCAGGAATTTCACAGGCTCTAGGCTCATGATATGTAGCAGACTTGAGGAAGGCACTAGGGCTGCAAAGATGTATGAAACACAGTTCCCATCTGCTCTCCAGGAGCTCCCAGTCCAGCCCTTCAGCCTGGCTCACAGTAGCACTCTAAGAACTATTCGGCTACAGTGGAGAGAAAGGCCGGCCTTGGCAGGCCTGGCACCCTGGCTCTGGAAGGGGCTGGGTGGGTAAGAAGACAGAGGAGGGATGACCTCAGAGCAAAGGAGAATGAGTGGGGAGCACTGTGGGAGGAGTCAGGGAGAGACCCCACCCCACTCGATCCTGCCCAGGGGATGAACCATTGCCTGTACCCAAAATGAGACTTCTAACGGGGCCACGTGCCTGACACACACCTGTGAGAGTCAGTCTAGACATGATCAGGTGAGCAGGGTCAGGCCAGGACTCTGAATGGGTCTCTCATTGACTCTGAGCTCTGGGGAAGCCACAGGCCTCCGTGGGACTCTGTTCCTTCAACGGAGAAGTGGGCATTATAGCCCACGCCTCTCTGCAGACTCTGGCATGGGAGAGACACATGCATTCCTTGGGGGGTTAAAGGGGCTGGATCCCCTGCATCCTCGGTGCCTATCATGTGCCAGGCCAGGTCAGAGCCTGCTCCCAGCTGCCCACTCTGCCTGAGGACTGCGGGTGCTAGAGAAGCTAAGGGTCCCTGGAACTGCTCCGCTAGTAAGTGGGGGGCAGGCTCAGTGTCTGTCCCTGGCTTGAGGGTTCTGCACCCATGCCCTTGACCCCCGCCATGCCTGGTGCCCATGTCAGGGACAGGTCAAAAGTGGGAAGGTAAAAAACTTCAACAACTAGATTGTCACTCAGATGCCCAGAGTCTGCTCCTCTCCCAGAAGCAGGCAGGGAAGCTGGAGCTGGACCATGTGTGCAGCCTGGGTTGCGTTGTGATTCTTTGCCTGGTTCTGGGTGATAATCAGTAAGGATGTCCCCACCTAGTACTGCGGACCCTTCCCCTATGGGTGCTGTTACCGTGAGGTGATCAGGGTCCCGGGCCCTTCCAGCCTTACAATGGCAACGCCTGCTGCCTGCATTGCCTGTCCCCATTCTTTCCTGGGTGGCTGGCCCACCAGACTGACTGGGTGCCCTCCTCTGGGCTCCCACGGCCCCCTGAGCTGTGTTACTGTGCGCATCATCGCTCCATATCTTGGTGGTTGCCAGTTGCCGTCCCCAGCAGACACACACTCCTCCTATCAAAGTCAGGAACCATGGTCTCTCTTCTTCTGAAGCCCCAGAGCCTGGTCTGAGACCTGCAACCCTCGTCACCATCCGTGCATGTTTGTTGATTGAATAAGTGAACATACTAGAGAACCAATACCAGTTCTTTAAGTTGAGTCTCTGGAGATAAACCTCACTCTGTTAGTCTGAGTTGGCAAGTTCCTGTTTGCGGAACCAGGCCAAGCAGGGAAGAAGGTGATAGTCAGAGACATCCAGAGCCGTCAGAATAAAGAAAGGTGTCCTGAGGCTATAGGGAGGCATCAGCCATGTCCATTGGTGTTGTAGGGGCAGAAGTTCAAAGTCCAGAGAATCCAGGAGTATAGCAGGCCTAGCAAGGGTGGACATGGGGGGTGGGGGTTGAAGCCAGGCAACTCCAGAGTCCTGCATGCACCCTTGTGTTGGGAGGTGGAGGCATCCCAGTGTGATGGAGGGGGCGCCATTCCCTGACATGGGCAAAGCCTGGTCTGGGGAGACATCACTAGCTAGTTCCTTCATGCACGTGTGCGTTCATTCATTCAGCAGACAGGCATGGGTGCCCCTTAGAGCCAGGCCTGGGGATAGAAAGGTGAACAAGGCCCTGTCTTGGGCCGAGAATTCTCAGTGGAGGGAGACTCCATGGGTTGGGACTTAATCAGGAGCAACCACTAACTAAGCCCCTACCCACAAGGGCAAAACTAGCCAGGTAAACTGAGGCTCTGGATGCCTCAGGAACATCAAGGGAGAGCTCCAGCAAAGGCCTGCCCAGTGCCAGTGTGGCAGGGTCACTGCAGCACTGGTGTCTTTGGGGTCCATACTGTGCGCCCCACGCCTGCTGCTCAGCGGCACGGACGGTCTTTCCCTGCAGGTGATGAGTATTCTGAGCAACCCCAGTGCCGTGCCACCACAGCCACAGGCCGACTTCTCCATTTCCCCACTACACGGCGGCCTGGACTCTGCCACCTCCATCTCGGCCAGCTGCAGCCAGCGGGCTGACTCCATCAAGCCGGGAGACAGCCTGCCCACCTCCCAGTCCTACTGCCCGCCCACCTACAGCACCACCGGCTACAGCGTGGACCCCGTGGCTGGCTACCAGTACGGCCAGTACGGCCAGAGTGAGTGCCCAGCGCCCGGGCTGCCCACCCTCTCCCACCCCCACCCAAGGGCCTGCCGCTTATCTGCAAGTTTTGAGGTGGTGTTGGGTGGAGGTGCCTATTGCACAGATGAGGAAATTGAGGCGCAGACCAAAGGAACGGGGGTCTAGGTTGATCCTGAGCCGCACGCCCGCTGCTGTCCCATAGAAATAGAATACAGCCCCAAACGTCATTGCAGCTTCCTCGGAGCCACATTTTAAAGCACAAGACAAAACCCGTGGCCTTCTATCTACCGACACACGCTATTTACACACTGTCCCTGGAATGTGACCGTGTCAACAGGTAACCCCGATAAAATGATGAGTGAGATTTTAACACAATCTTTTAAAATGAACACACGTTCTTTTTGTCATGCCACGTCTTTGAAATCCAGCCCCTTTTAACTCAGACACCAAGAGTCCACTGGAAAGACTTGATACGCATTTAAAGCTCATAAAATGTATAACCGAGGAAGTAGATGGACACATCCAAGATGTTCCAAATATACCGAAAAGTTTCCCAACCACTAAAAGAAATCAAATTTAAGTTTTAAATTTGAATTAGATGTAATGAAACGGGAATGTGAAACCCAGCTCCTCGGTGGCCACCCCCTTCCACGTGCCCTAGAACCACGCGCAGCCTCTGGGGCGGTCTAGGCCCTGCGTGCTGGCCATGCCTCTGGCTCTGGGGAATGCTGTTATTTTGAGCTCTCTCCTTGGTCTCCCCAGTCTCTGACTGGTCTCGGATCCCACCCTAGCAGCCACCCCGACGGCCTCTTGCCCGGAGGTGGCCCCGCAGGCCGGCATAGCACAGGCTGCAAAGGCAGACCAGCCCACAGCCTCCGCCTGCAGCCGGGACAAGCAGCAGAGCAGCTGGGACTGCAAAGCCCAAGGAGCCGAGGTCACTGGGTCCCCGCCCGCCCCACCTCCCAGCAGAGGCCTCACCTGCTGGTGTCAAACTAATCAGAAGGGCGTGTGGCGAGAGGGCGAGACCGCCCACCCCGAGGGCGTCCTCCGCCGCTGTGCCCTGGCCTGGCCCGCTGACCCCGGCTTCCTGCCCCACACCAGCCCTCTCCTCCTCACACGGCCTTGGCCGCCACAGCTAAATGAGGGCCAGCTGTGCTGGCCTCCCCCTCCCAGCTGCGCCATGACCTCTCCCCGTGTGTGTGCACATTCACACGTGTGTACACGGGTGCATGTGATTTCCCATCTGTGTTGTGCATTTCAGCCCACGCATGTCAGTGCACGCTTCCTTGTGTGTGTACGTGTGAATGTGTGAGGGGCAAGCGTGGGTGTGTGTGTGGCTGTTAACACACATGAGTTTAAATGAGCATAGAGGGGGCCCATGATGGACATAGAGATTTGTGTGTAAACATGCATGTGCGTACCTTAGGCCGTGTGAGTACATGTGGCTGTACACACATTTAACTGTGCATTCAGGTGTGTGTGTGTGTGTGTGCGCGTGTGTGTGAGAGAAGGTATGTTTGACATCCTTGTGGACATGTATATAAGCATGTGTGCACTTGTACAGATGTGTGTATACAGATGTGGATGGCTCTATGTTCTATGTGTAAACATCTGTGTTCAGTATGTACATCTGTTTGAGTGTGTTGGGTAGTGTGCATGTGAGCTTGAAGGCTGTGTGCAGTCTGCAAATACGAGTGCGCAGATGTGACTGTGCATACCTGGGTGTGGTGCATCTTGCACACACATTGATGTCGGGGCATGTAACTGAATGTGTGCGTGGGAGCGAGCGTGTGTGGGGTACACACCGTGTGCATATTGGAGAGATGGACACACATGTGCCCAGACAGGAGTGTTTCCAGAGGCGCCCAGGTGAACCCCTGCCCTGCTGCTGTGCGTGGAGCGGGACACACATGCTCTTGATAAAGCATTTAGAGCAGCTCCGAGGCCGGCAGCAGCCCGGCCCGGGGCAGGCGTTAGTCACACCCGGAGCCCCGAGCCCCACTCCAGGGGCGCTTGCCCAATTCGGAAATAAAATTAACCCCAAAGTCAGCACGGGGTGGCAGGGGAGGGGGGATCAAAAGGGAAAGAGCCAGGAGGCGAGAAAGGAGTGTTTGTTCCCCGTTTGCTTGGGGAAGCTGGCCAGGATGACTTCCTCCTCACCCCCCCACCCCCCCACCCCCGCCCCTCCAGCCTCTCCTTCCTCCCCCGCAACAGCGCCCTGCCCCCCTGGCTCCTCCAGGGGTAGCTCAGAGCTCCTCTGGGCCACATTCTCCAGCCCAGACCCACACCCCACCCCACCCACCCCACCAAGGCTTCAGGGTTGGGCCTGGATATGCCAGAAGCCACCTGCCTCCTGAGCCTCAGTTTTGCCATCTGTGAAATGGGACCCCAGGGGTTCCACTCAGTTGCCTTAAGGTTTGTCCACTGTATCACCCCCCTTACCTTTGACATTCTGGGATACCCAGGGACTCATCCTTTGCCCACCGATCGCCTGCCCCACGTCCACGGACAACTGAACACACCCATGACAGGGCTGCGCGGCCCACATCCAATAGTGGCATGTCCTGAGCACCCGAATGTGCCCAGGCCCACCAGCCATCTGCTCTCATCTGTCCCTTGCAGGATCTAGCTGGCCAGGGGCTGAGCACGACTCATGTTCTCATTTTATGTGATTCTCGAAAGCCCAAGCAAGGTAGGTGTTAACTGTCCCCAGGTTACAGAAACAAAAGCCAAGGCCTAGAAGGTGAGAAACTCCCCAAGGACACAGTAAGTGAATGAGGGATCCAGATACCCAGACGTCAAACCTAGTTCTTGTTTGGCCAACACAAAGCTCTGTCACTATTGTTGCGTCCCAGACGCACCATGTGTGGGCTCATCTTCATGACACGACGCATGGACACACACTCGCCACACTTATCTCACTGCGGCATTGCTCACGTGTGTGTATACACAGCTTCAACGTGTAAAAATGCAGGTGTGTGTAGAGCCAAAGGAAAACAGCTGTTTATTGAGCACCTACTACGGTCTGGTCTCCCATCCTCATGACCACCCTGTGCAGTGCACAGTCGTCCTCATCAGACAAGGAACTAGGACCCCAGAGAAGCAGCTTGTTCAAGACCCCCCCTAGCTGCACAGATACCGCCTGCAGGTCTGCCCCCTCGAGGCTCACTTTGGGGTGTGCCTGGAGTGCCCACGTGGGGCACGGCCCTACGCAGCAGAGTCCATACCTCTCCCGGCACCGCTGGTCTTCCCGAGGACACCCTCCTTCGCTGCTCCTAGCCAGCGTCCATCCATCTGTCCGTCTCTCCCTTCCCTGGAGGGGCTGGGGCAGGGGGCGAGGGACGGGGCACACGGCAGATTAATATGGCCCTGGTGTTCCCAGAGGCCAGGGCTGGACTAATGATGGGGCTGATAGAACGCAGAAGTGTGAAAAGAATTTTAATAGATCTGACAAGTCTAATAAGAATTTGTGTCTAGAAGGGTCCTCCTCTGGGGCCGCCGGCTGACGAGACAGTGACGGCTGAGATTTGTTTACTAGTTGGCATCGCCGCCACATCTCCTGCCAACTCCCGATTAATCTAATTTGAGATGTTTAGAGCCCAGGCTCAGGCACGAGGCAGAGGAGGGGAGACACGGAGAGACAGAGGGACAGGGAGGGCCGATGACAGAGGCTGTAATGAGGAATGTCACAGCCCTGCCCTCAGCCGCCCCCCGCTCGACCCCGGGAGACGCAGACACAGGGCCGCGGGTGCCCTTGAAGTTGCTGGGCTGTCAGTAAAGTTTGGCTTCTTGGTGTCTCCTGGCCCCACATGCCCAAGTGCTGGGCCACGGCCGATAACTGAGTGAGGCTGAAGAGGAGGAGGCCCAGCAGGACAAACTCTCCACCTCGCGTGCTGTGTGGGACTCTGGGCCAGCAGTTTTGCTGAGCCTCAGTTTCCACCTTTGTAAAATGGGGACAATCAGACCCAAAATGGGCCTGTTGGAAGATTTAAATGAGATTGTGGCTGCCTAGCACACAGCACTTAGTAGGTCAGAAATCTTACTTCACTGTCCTCATTTTATTCCGAGCCAGACGGTTCATCAGTCTGACCAGGAAGAGCCAGAAAGGCCAGCATCAGAGCTTGGCATGACGTGGAATAAGGCAGAGCCCCCCGTGACTCCGGAAAGGTCACCCGATTTGACCATTAGACAAGCCACCAACACACCCTGGAACAGATGGGGCCAGAGCAGGATTTGGGGTGTATAGTATCTCCTGCAAGGGGCTATTCCATAGGACACTTGCTGGGGGAGCTTGGGGGATGCTGAGGAGCTGGCATCAGACCCCAGGCTTTGAATCCCGGCTCCACAATTCATGAGCCATGGGATCTACCGCCTTATGCAACTTCTCAGGGAAGGGCCTCAGTTTTGTCATCTGTAAATTGGGGGTAATGGCTCAGGCAGCCCCATAGACTTGTGAAAATCAAATGAGATGACGCACAGTGGGCGTAACACAGGCCGACAGAGTGAGCGCTGTGAATGTCAGCGCCTCTAGTCCTTATTTTCACTCTCAGTATGAGGCTTCCTCCTGGGGAGGGCCCTGCAACCCAGGTGACTGGCTCCAAGTAGTAGAAATAGAGCTGCAGGGCCCCCCCAGGCCAGAGAGTGGAGATCCTTACCACCCAGAGTAAGGGACAGGGCAAACTGGCCACTGCCACCACTGCTGCCTCCCCAGCTGGGAGCCTGGAGGCTGTGTGAGCCCAGGGATGGCACCCAGAGGCTCAGCTCAGGCTCTGGAGCCTGTGAAGCTGAAAGGCATAGCATCCAGACACTTCAAAAGGCCCCAGGGCATTTGCACATCCCTTGGGGTCTCAGGGGCCATGCCCTGAGCCCTCTATGCCCAGCATTTTAAAGCACATTATTTCATTTGACCCTGGTAAGAGCCCTTGAGGAGTCTAGAATGGGCTCTCCCAGTCTACAGACAAGGAAACAGGCCTGCAGAGGCAGCGACTTACCGAAGCCGTGTGAGCAGGAGGGCGTGCTTGCTGTTCCTTTCCTTCTTGCCCCATCAAAACTGACAACTGCTTGCTAAGCTCCAAGCCTAGGGATTGCTCTGTTGCACTCACCGTGTGCCAGGCATCGTGCTGGGGACCACTTTATATGCATGTTATAATTCATCCCTAATGCAATCTCCAAGCTCTTATCCCCATTTACAGACAAGGAAGCCGAGGCTTGGAGAGGTGTGGTGCTTTGCCCAGACCCACACTAAAATCCAGCAGGTGCAGGATTTGAATCCAGGTCATTTGCACCATGGAGCAGCTTGGTCTCCTGTGGCCTAGGGTCGCTGCCATCATCTGGCTCCAGCCACCTGCCCTAGCAGAAGCCCCCAACTTTGGAGAGGCAGGCAGAGTGTTAGAGGACCCTTTGGTGATAGTGGTAGGCCAGGGCTCACACTTCTTAGTCACCTTCCTTTCCATCTTCCTCTCACCTCTGGATTCTGGAGGTTCCTGGGGGTTGGATTGGCTTTGGGGGTGCATCAAGGGCCGAGGGTGATTTGCCAGTCAAATCACTCGGAAAGGGCTGATTTCTGCTGCAGGCAGGATTAGCAAGGCGGAAACAGAACACCTGTCCACACAGGCCCAGGGGTTGAGCCTGCACACAGAATGTATGTAAATGGCCACGTACCTGCCCAGGTGGAACTCACCTGTACACTGTTACTGTATGTGCACAGGCATTTCCACTATCCTGCCCACACAGGTGCACACTGCTCACAGATGTGTGCAGATGTGCCTGAGCAAGTGTGAACATTCATGTGTGTGCCCATTGTTGCTTCACCCATGTTAGTGCTTCCTGTGTTCACACACACGTACACACCCTCAGACTCTCTTCCCTCTCCTCTGGGGGACCAGACCCCATAGTGCAGAATGTCTCGGCTTCCTTCATAGCAGGGCCGGGATCCTCCTGTGGAGACTCTGTGGAGCTGAGGCTCACCTGCAAAAGCTGCTTTGGTTTCTGCGTGTCCATGAGCTGGGCGTGGGCTCCAGAGGCGAGCCTTGCTTTAATTACTACCAGACTCTGGGACCCACAGGACGCCCCCACAGAGTTTAGTGGAAGGAGGGACTAATTGTTCACTTTGTAATTTGGATAACCTCTGTGCCTCCCTCCCCCACTGAACCCACAAGAGAGTTGGGCAAACAATACATTTAAGTAAATATTTTCTGATGGTTGGAGAGAGGCGAGAGTTTCTTGAGATGGATGAATCACAGGAAGGTGGGTGGGTGGATGGATGGGAGGATGGATGGATAGAGGGAGGGAGGGAGGGATGGATGGATGGATGGATGGGTGGATGGATGGATGGATGGATGCATGAGAGGATGGATGGATGGATGGATGGATGGATGGATGGATGGATGGATGGATGGGTGGATGGGTGGATGGATGGATGGATGGATGGATGCATGAGAGGATGGATGGATGGATGGATGGATGGATGGATAGATGGATGGATGGATGGATGGATGGATGGATGGATGGGTGGATGGGTGGATGGATGGATGGATGGATGGATGGATGGATGGATGGATGGATGGATGGATGGATGGATGGGAGGATGGATGGATGGATGGATGGGAGGATGGATGGATGGATGGATGGATGGATGGATGGATGGATGGATGGATGGATGCATGAGAGGATGGATGGATGGATGGATGGATGGGTGGATGGGTGGATGGATGGATGGACGGATGGACGGATGGATGGCTGGCTGGGAGATGGATGGAGGCACAGAAGGGTGGCTGAATGAACTAATAATGAATGAGCAGATGTATGACTGTATATATGTGGGGCATCTGGAAGAAGAGGTAAAAGAACCTTCATTTCTAGGAGTCCCCCTTTTTATTTTGCAGCTGCTGTTGATTACCTGGCCAAAAACGTGAGCCTCTCCACACAGCGCCGCATGAAGCTCGGGGAGCACTCCGCTGTGCTGGGACTCCTGCCTGTGGAAACTGGCCAGGCATACTAGGGCACTTGGGGTCACGTGCCCCAGCCAAGTCCCTGCCCAACCCTGACTGACCCCTGAGCTCCCCAGCCTCGGTCCCTCATCACCTCGGGGCCCCACGAGGCCGGGAAAGGAGCCTACGCCCTCTCCCCAGCCGGCCCTCTGGAGATGCGCGGTCCACCTTTCATTCACCTGTGGTTAGGAACCTAGATGACCCCTTGGAGCCTGCCCCTTCACCCTCCCCGGGAGGGTTTCTGGTCAGCCTATGGTCTTCCCGCCAACCCCCACCCCCTTCCAAGTCCAGTCCTATTGTGGCCTCTGTGCCTTCTTAGGCACAGAAGCCAGAGCTCACCCTCTGGGTATTCAAAGGCGCGTGGTATCTGGGATGAGGTCCTGAGCCCTTTGGACCTGACTCCAGCGGCACCCTGGCCACAGTGGAGGGGGCGCTCATCAGGGCACTCGCCTGTGGACATGCTGGAAACCGCCTTCCTGCGGGTCTCTGGCCCGGGGCCTGAACCACGGTCCCTTCCTCCTCTGGACGCTGGGGCTCCAACAGAGAGGGTACCCTGGCCCCAGGGTCTTCCCAGAGGAGTCACCCAGGATTTCTGAGGACTTAGGGACCTCCCTACACACTTCTTCCAGGTGTTGGGGGAAATCTAACCCAGGCCAGGCCATGAGGAGGGGGCAGGGGTGGTACCAAGTGGGCAGGTGGGGCTTGTCAGCCTGAGTATTCAGGTACAAAGACCCCCCCAAGGCCTGGGGGGCAGCTGGTTCTGAGACTGAAGCCTCAGTTCAACCCTGCCCACCCCAAGTCAGACCTGGGGAGTCCACCAAACCCTTCAGTTTTCTCACTTGCTGGATCAGATGGGAGGGGAAGGGATGGAGTCTTGAGGACACGTGGGTGACGAGGCAGAGGGCGGGCTCAGAAAGGGCTTTGCGACGGGTCCCTCGCCCAGTGGGCAGCAGGCCTTTTTGGTCAAAGGCTTCAGCTCTGTGCTTTCAATCCACACCCCATGAAGCTTCCATTGTTCATAAAGCCTCCACAGAGCCCGCCCCCCTCGGTTCCCCATCTTCTAGGAAGGGGACTTTCGTCGGGCTTTGGAGAGGGATTTTGGACCTGCAGGAACTGCTCACCCATAGGCAAGACCAACGTTTCCTCCTGGCATGTTGGCGGGGGCCAGCCACCTCCCTGCCCCACGGAGTGGCGGCTTTCAGTAGGGCCTCTGTCTCCTGGGCCAGCACGGCTGGGCAGGGGCAGGTGTGGCCAGTGTTCAAGCCACCACCCCTGGGCAGAGGGAAACACCAAAGGTTCCGGAGACAAGGGGAAGGCACCTGCCGGGCCTCTGCCACGGCTTCCTCACGCTCCCCCTCTAGAAGACTCGAGATGTCCGAGGAGTAGTTCCAGCCCCCGTCTAGGCCTCCCTTGGAACTTTTCACCACCGTCACCTATTTGTCCACATGATACTCATCTACGCTGGGACCACCTTACGAAGTGCCACTGGGTAGAAGGCACTAGTCGCGGGAGACACGGCATGGAATCCCCAGGACTGGACCGGGTTGCTTGTCCCCACCTGGGTCTATGAAGACACATCTTTGCTTGGGCCACACCTCTAGCCCTCAGCTAACGAGACATTCCTGGAGGGAAAGGCTGCTGCGGTTGGGAGGTGACTGCTCCTCCCTGCTGGGAAGCTGGTTGGCAAGATGCTCGGGCACTTTCCTGCATGGATGGTACCCCTGGGACAGAGGCCCCCCTATTTCTCATCTTCAGGCTCAGTAGTATAAGCCTGTCCTGGACCTGGCCCGGTGGCTTGTCTCTGGTTTAGAGAAACCTGTTCATAATAGGGCCATCCAGATGCGTGCAGCCCATCAGCGCGGCCAGGTTTGCAATTGGAGCATCCACTGCAAGAAACCTGTAGCTCTTCAAGCTCAAGACAGAAAGGAACACTGAATGACCCCTGGCGGCCCGGTCCATCTTTTGTAGCTATCACAGCCAAGAAGCAGCTCTTCCTTAGGATCTACCACAACCTTCATCCACATTCCTTGAATGAATGGTCAAGCCTCCCCCCTTGGAAGCCTGGCTCAGGAATCGCCTGAGTCTCCTTATGCCCCTTGGCACCCAGGAGCAGGGATCTCAGGCAGGTGACATCAGAACCGCGCAGTCCCCGCCCCAGGAGGTGACATTCCATTGCTAGGACCAAGCCCAGATATCTGCCCCCTTCGGTGAAATGAGAATAAGCGCAATGATTTCTCGTGTCTAACACCCCTGGATTCTTCCAAGCCACCATCTTGGTAGGAAAATGGAACTTACTTCCCCAGGGGCCCCCTCAGAAAGGTTTCCCCTAAAACCCCGTGTCTTAATGTGCTTAGCCAACTCGGTCTGTCCAGTTGGGTCTTGTGTTGGCAGCTGGCAACTTCACCAGAGATGACACTGTGGAAGAGGGCCAAGGCCTCGCATTCTGGGGGCTCATCAGTCTAGAAGGAAGGCCCACATCCCCGTCACCAGGCCAGCCCAGAAGCAGTTCTCATTCATCCCTGTAAATAGAGTCCTTAGCAAAAAAAGAGAGATGTTCCCTCCAACTTATCACAAGTAGCTGTTAATCCCACCCAAGGGGGCCCCTCTTCTGAGCTCATTGTACATTAGTTGGAAATGTGATGTGTCGTCCGTTTATAGGAAGTCGACTTTTATATATAAATATATATACTAAGAAAGGAAGGAACCCCCCACAGTGCGTGTCGTGCTAGTGCCAGGGACCATCTGTAGGGCTCTCTCTGCATACCGTGTGTTTCAAATTATACATTCCAGGCTCTATTGGGTTCTTGCATTTTTAGCGCTTTGTTTTTTCATTTGGTATTTCTCTCTTGCTATTAAAAGAAAAAAAAGAAATGATGTATAAGAACCCAGCTATGCTTTTATACTCTTATTTTTTACTTGATTTACCTTTGCCATTTTTTTGCCAGAGGAACTGGAAGAAGAGGTGGGGGAATGAGAGAGAAGCAGAGAAGAATGAAGAGAGAGCTTTGCCCAGAAGAGAAAAGGGAAAGTCAGGTTTCCAGGCCGACTGAGACTTGAGAGCAGGCAGGTCCAGGCACTGGCTACTCCCCGGAAATCCTGTGTGTTTTAGGCGGAGCTGGTAAAGCACAGATCCTGGAACTTGGTGAAACCCCATGATTGCCCCCCCCAGAGACCTCTGGGGCCTCTCTCAGGTTGTGTTCATCACACTCCCAAAGGTGCCCTTTACTACTGGATGCTTTTGGGGTCAACACGTCCTCTCTCCTCCCCTCCTACAGAGGCACCAAACCAAGACCAAATGGGGGGCTTCCAGCCGCCATCTTGAAATGCTCACAACATCTGTTATGTTGAATGCTTTTGCTGTCAGCTCCAACATGACTAATCCCCTACCTGGGAAATAGCTACATCGCACTCTAGATCATTCCTTCTTCCTAGTAACTGCGACTTGGTTGCTTCCGTGTTTGACTCACAGCCATTTTCCTCCATGTGGAAATGAGTGTGTGCATGAGTGTGTGTGTGAGGTGTGAGCATGGGCGTGTGGGCGCAAGGATGTGTGTTTAAATATAATGGCACCATAATTTATTCAGCTCTATGGAGTAGTAGACTAGAAAGAGAAACTGGCATTTGCTTTAACTACCTGCTTGTAAGCGCTTCCTCTGTAACTCAGGCGTAACTGTTATACATTAAAAGAAATTAAAAGCATTTCCAAGGTTCCGTGTCCTCGGTTTATCACCATCGTGCCGCTGCCCTGAAAAGGGCTAGGAGTGCTTGAAAAGCCCTTTGACCTAATTTAGGGAGCCAGGGTCAGAATCTCACTTGTCTTGCGCCCCCCTGCACCCCCAGCGCTAAGCAGCGCTGCTGACACCAGCGATGCGTCATTCATATGTGATCAGTGGGTGCTGTTGCTAAAATGTTTCTGGTGCAACCTCAGCCTTTGCAGACAAGCTTCTCCTGGCCATCTCCTAACACACAGCATTGCCGGGGGGTTGGGGGTGGGTAGCGGGGAGAGGGCAGGAAGCAGTTCAGAAGCTTACACATTGCCTTAGAAGTGGAGTCTGATTCCGGGATTCTTGGGCAGGTGAATTGTTGCGAGAGCACTGGAGAAATCCGAAAGGGAGCAAGATAGGGCAGGGCTAGGAGCTCAGCAAAGAGGGGTGGGATATCTAGTTCACCCTGCTTCTGCAGGGGGCTTGGAGTGTGAACCATAGTGCCCTTAGCCCCACTGCAAGGCCAGAGCTGCCTCTTGTACTGAGCTGTCTGTTGTTCATTGGCCGCTGGCTGTGCTGGGGAGGTGGGTGGGTGGGAAAAGGGCCTGCATGCCCAAGCATCTTTGGTGAAAGTGGCTCCCATGGACTGAGGCAGATCTCCCGAGAAAGGTGAGGCTTCACACAGCCCGAGCAGCGGTGGCCACCTCAGTTAGGAGACAGGTGAAGTGATCCAGCAAAGGGCATCCAGGCAAGGACCACCCACCTGTGCTCCCCTGGCTCTTAGCCAGGACACCCAAGTTGACCCAGGGACATGGGATGATCGGAACAGGAAGGAGGTGCGGGGAGGACCATTGGGGGAATTTATTCATGAAGGACTGGCAAGGTGTTCTAATGGACCGGAGTCCATTCAACCCAGCCAGGTTCTCCAGGGCAAGACCTGAAGGGCGGGTGGGTCCTCCTGGCCCAGTCTGGTCAGAGGGCTGCCCAGCCTTCTCCTCTACGTCTGCACGTGAAGAACTTTGCACCAGCCCTGATGAAATCCAGGCAGCTCACTTCAGAACTATAGCTCTCAACCACACTGTACCCCAAGTTTGTCCCTTCGCCCCTAGCCAGGCAGTTACCACTCACTGCGTCAGGGAGATAAGGGCAGACAACAAGAGCTAGTCAAGCTCTGCTCTTAGCTCTGTATATGACTCACAACAGGCCCCAAGACAATGTTCTCCCCCTCTCAGACCTTATTTCAATATCTTTATAAAAGCAGGATGGAGGGGGCCTCCCTGGTGGCGCAAGGGGTTAAGTCGCAGCAC